TGTAAATGAATTTCGGTTGTTTAAAACATTTGGTGTTTCAACGGATTATTATCGCCAGAAGTATTCATTTCTATGCAACTGAGAGTGATTTGCCCAGACTAATTTTTATGTATTTGAAAAGCTCATCTCTTGTTTAGTAATCACTCCGAATTTTATTGCAAACAAAATACTTGCACGTTTAAAAAATGATCGTTTTGTAAAGGTACTAATTTGCATATAAAAATACATATGCGAATATTTCGAGTTCCAGAAAATTTTCCTTTTAATTAAATGGTCTGAAAATCACTGAAATAAATATCAAAGAGTTAGTGAGAAAGCTTCAATTTAAATTTTTAAAATAGCTATTTTAGTTTTTACATGAACTCGGTATAAAGTTTGGCTATTTTGAGAGCTATTTTTAGCAATCAAGCATCTGTCACGCAAAGGCCCAGTATGTGACATGAATTCGCGATTTTCTTGCGAAAAATGAAATATTTTCAAAAACCAATTACACAGCGATTGTTACCTAATCATACCTTACCAATATACAAAATATGAATAGATTTGATTTTTCGAGCCTTGCCAAAAAATTTCAGTTTTGTCTGGTTTTTGCGCGAAGCGGCTCTTAACACACTGACTGACTTGTGCTCTGTTTTCCTTGCGGAAAGTCCAATGCTTAACCATGACCTGGTCGTTGTCAATGGCGACCAGTACATCATTGCTGGGTAGCTCTGACACTTTCAGTGTTAACCCTGCTAGAAAGGATCTAATTGTGCTGTAAACACCTCCTGGGTGGAGCTTACCATAATTATTAGCTGCCATTCTGCTTCGGCATATAGAATAAATTACCAGGTTGCATGCAAACATGCAGGGACTGACAAAATTTGGCTGGACCAGATTGTACAGTTGGTCAACTGCTGACACTTGCTTGATATGWGGGACATTTGTCGATGTTAATCCCTCCACTGCTGCTCTCACTACTGGKTTCCTTGAGGACAGCCAATCTACTGATTTAAACTCTGTAATTGAACTTAAACTCCTCCCCTTCTGTTGCAYAATGTCCTTGCTAATGTGCTCTTTCTGTTGAGTAAAAACAKCCTTTACTATTGCCACCATAATGTTTGGTGGCAATTTCTCAATTGACTTAGTCAAATTTTCAGGGTCCAKCACAAACAAACCAGTCTTGGCTACAATATCTTGAAATAGCAAATGACACATATCAGTGTCCAAAAGTGGCAGGTTTTCTTGGATTACTWGAAAAGCTTTACATCTACTTCTCTCCAAATTATTTTCATCATCTGAGGCAGATTCAGTTTCACTTCCATCCCGGTCATGACTAGTAGTTGAAGTGAGTTTTCGTTTTTTAGGCCTGCCCAAAGACCCGCCAAAAGAACTTGAAAGAGAACACACTTCACAGTTCAAAGAGTGTGAATGCCACTCTACTGGGGTTTTATGCGTAGTAAAAGTTTCTTGTGAATTTCTCAATCTGTCAAACATTCGTCTACACACGACACAGATGGACTGTGGATGAACCGCTTCATTGTCATTTTCGATGTCCACTCGAAAAAAAATGTAAAAATTCAGATTTATAATCTTGCTTGCTCTTGCAGCTCTTTCTCTTTGCTCGTTGTTTATGAATTTCGAGAACTTTTGCGCAGAAACGGCACAAAGTGGCTATCCGTCGAAGATGGTCTTCCATCACATTTTATTTCAAGACGTTGGTAAGCTACTATAGAGAGATAGTGTCGTATGTCAGTAAAAGTGCTTCGCTTGAAACAAACGCCGTGCACACAAAAACTACACCACGCACAGTGAGGTTAAGACAGATTATACAACTTTATTATGTCTAGTTTCTCACTATATTTTTTTCTAGACCAACAAAAAATACAAAAGGCACGTAAATAGCACATTTATCTTACCTTCTGGAGTTTTTCAGGGCTCTGATGGACTATAAACACTGGAATCAAGTTGATATTTCTTGCTGTTTTGAAGTATTCTGGCGTTCTCACTCGTTGTGAATGAATAAATTAGCTATCGGGCTCTATCGGGCTACAAGATTGAAATGGTTTCTGGGTAAAAAGTCCAGTGAACAATAGATATTTCAACTTCGGAAAATTTTCGGTGGCAATTCGAGCCACAGGGAGCCAATGCCGCCATGTTGTGACGTAGCRAGGTGCTTAAATCTGTGCACCTTTCCGAACTGTCTATTTACACAACGATGACAGATACGACTGCAACAACCAATGAAAAGAGAGGCCATAGTGGTAAAACGAGCTTCTTCGGTTCTTCGCTCGGAACCGAAAGTTAGCGGAAAAAACATCGGGGTAATCTGAAACGAGCATACGTGATGCAGCGAAAGGGTCACTTCAAAAGTCATCGATCAAATGGCCAAGAAAAGCCAATCTCCTCAATTACTTTAACCTATTGCCACCAAAATTATAAAACACTGGCGATGCGAGATGCAAATCCTAATAAAAAACGTGTYGAATACAAACTGTATCATTTGTAATTACCAGAAATAAAAAAACACCGATCCGTTGCACACAGCTTCCACGAAATGTCAATCATCAGTTCTKCCATTGACCACCACTCGTCCAGATCGCGCAATAGCGTGACCGCATCGGCTTTGTTGCTTTTATTGCCGTTTAAATCTAAACGATTTTTGACACAAGTTGTA